CCTGTGTAGGAAATGTATTTTGATTGGTTATCAGACTCCCATGGGGCCATGAAAGGGCAACTCTGTAGGCTGTCCTGAGTCCCAAGCTTGGTTGACTTTTGCTGGGTGATGTTGTAATGAAATGGCTTTGGGATTCCTATTATGCCTATGCCTGAAGGAGGTAGATCTTTGTTACGTAGAATAGATTGGCTCGGGCTTTAATAGCCCATTAACAAAGGTGAGTTTCTGCCTCCCTTTTAGGGGAAATATTCTGCCCTTTTAATATTTCCTAAAATATTTCACTTTTCTAGGTGGGTGCTAACTTCCTAGAAAACCAAAAAAGGGGGAGAAAATAAAAGCACCCCCTCTCAGCCCACCGAGAATACATGGGACATTTCATATCCAAACTGAGAAAGACTGAATAATGTGCAGTGCAAACAGGTAGCAATAGGAAATAGGAATATATACCTACTGAAATATTAGTTTCTATATCCATCTACTCCCTTTGAGTATTCAGTTGGCTGAAGGCACACAGAGGCTATATTATGATTGTTATAAAAGGTCACTTCCTGGCTCTTTAATGCATTGCAATATTTAACTGAATTTCATTGAATTTGGGTTACAGATAATCCTCAATTTACAATCATTCATTTAAGTAAAGAAGCCTGAGTCACTTAACAACTGTAGCAAAAGAGTTCGTAAAATGGAGCAAAAGTAACTTAACAACTGTTTTGTTCAGCGACAGAAATTTCGGATACAATTGGAGTCATAAGTCGAGTACCTATGGTACTATTTACCTATGATCTAGGTTATTGGCCACTATCGGCAAATATACAGATCTTTGCTATTATGTCTTTGTCTCAAAATCCCATTTGATTCACATGCTGGGAGATCGATAGGATGTGGCCCCAAAAACTCAGGATGGCAGTGATCATTGTTCAGTTGAAGCCCTGCCCATTTTTATGTACATCTTAAGAAGAGACTCATTCAGATAAACTTCTTCTTATATGTTTTTTATTATCTTCTTTGCTACTCCCCTCTTAGTGGTGTAGAAAGTTAGCACCCACCCCTCTCTTAGAAAAATGAAATATTTTAGGAAATATTAAAAGGACAGAATATTTCCCCNTGGTCATGCCGTTGTAGGTAGTCAGTTTGTGAAATTTTGCTGCACTCATTATTATTATCACTATCACCATCACCATCGCCATCATCATCTGGTGTTGTTACAGTAGCCAGGAGATCACAATCAGGGGTGGGTTCCTACCAGCATTGGTACCAGTTCGCTTCGCACACGCTTCACTCACTTGCAGGCCAGACCAAGGAGACGTCTTTGGACAGCGCTGGCTCTTTGGCTTTGAAACGGAGATGAGCACCACCCCCTAGAGTCAGGAACGACTAGCACATATGTGCGAGGGGAACCTTTACCTTATGTTATAATCTAGCACCATAATCTGGGAAACCAGGAAGATTTTGCCTCTGTTTCCCAAATTGCTTGAAGTGTATTCAACCCAGGAGTGTTCTTATACCCCCATCATCAAAATAATGCAACTCAGAATAAACCAGGTTGCCCTTGATGAAGAGAGAGATTAAGCCAATATGTTGCTTTGCATTTAGACATGGCAGAAACTCTCTCCCTTTTGTGCGTGTGTGTGAATCTGATGTTATCTTTCAAAATTCTCCTCCAGCCTCCACCCTGCAGCCTTTGTTTATGTAAGAATGCAAGATTCTGCAGGGCACATAATTATCAGGAACTGGAATCCATAATTTATGCAGAGCCCTTTTTTGTTTTGTTTTTTTGCCTGGATGGGGGAGTGACATTTCCTAAGGAAATTTAGCTAAACAACAAAGCCAAGCTCCCATCCTTCTCTGACAAGTTTATTAAGCTTGTTTTTATGTTTGCCGAATAGCCTGACCTTAACTTTACCTCTACCACTGAAGGGGAAAAAAAAAAAGAACTGATATTTGTATGTTGCAGCGCTGCTAAAAAAAAAATAATGAGCAAGAATTTAGATTTAAGCAGTAAGGGAACCAAATGTTATAAAGTAGGACCTTTCATTTGATTGTACCCCCTCCCCCATTCCTGGTTATTTCCAGAGGTTTCTGAAGTCATACGTTTGTCACTGGCAGTTTTGTCTGCTTCCTGCATTGTGTACACAGGATATTTATTCATCTAGCTCAACTGTTGTCTTGTTGCTAAACAAAACACGGTTGTCCGTGTATTTATTTATAGGGGGAAAATGTCCAGACCAAATGTAATTTCTATTGTTGGATTTTCCCCCTTATCAGAGGGAGCACTCTTGTGGAATACTGTGAAGCCATTACTGTGGCATCTCCACTGTGCTGTACAGTAGAAGCCATTTTACGGCAGTACAGTAGAAGCCATTTTAAGGCACAACAGGCTGTCTCTTAATAGAACCCCCCCAGGGGTGTTAGGGTTGCCTCCCCCCTCCCAGTAATTGTTTCCAGAGAGTAAGTCATCTGTGTATCAAGTTTGGTTGAAATTGCTTGAGGCATTCCAGAGTTATGCGCTATGCTGGAACACAAACATAGATAGATAGATAGATAGATAGATAGATAGATAGATAGATAGATAGATAGATAGATAGATAGATAGATAGATA